AAACCATTTCAGGTGACTACCTCTTGAAGCTCATGGAGAGAATGCCAAGAGTGTGCAAAGCAGTAATCAGAGCAAAGGGTGGCTATTTTGAAGAAACTAGAATATAAAACATGTTTTCAGTTATTTCACCTTTTTTTGTTAAGTACATAACTCCACATGTGTTCATTCATAGTTTTGATGCCTTCAGTGAGAATCTACAATGTAAATAGTCATGAAAATAAAGAAAACGCATTGAATGAGAAGGTGTGTCCAAACTTTTGGCCTGTACTGTATATATATATATATGTATATATACACACACACACACACACACATATATGCACACACAACTGGGGAACTAAATTGTCTCAACAGGTTGCCGGCTGGACCACTTAAAGCAGCGCACCCACCAGATCATGCGGAATACACCACACAAGAGCCGTTTCTCAAGATGCGTTCTTGTGCGGACATGTGTTCTTGTTAACTTGTGACATGTCATCAGTCCAGCCCAAGTACTGTTCCAATTCAAAGTTCACATCTAGCAAAGTTCAGTCCAAATGCCCGGATGTGTTCTCGCCATTTTGTGCTACTTTATACTTAGAGGGAAATAGTGTACATTCTACTCAAGCTACATTTATTTGATAGCTATAGTTACTTTTCAGATAGTTTGTTTTATATTGTTGGGAATAGAATGATTTTATGTGTTTTACTATAAGTTGTGTTTCACTATATAAGTTTTAGATGTGTGAACAATGAGAATACTGAGATGATTTCAGCTGATCTGAATGTGTTTGCTTTGCAGAAGTGGAGAAGTACAGGAGAGGAAGAGACATGAAGTCTGAGGAGCACATACCGCAATGCTTAGATAATTAGTTTCATATATGGTAAAAAGAATAGAAAGTGATATACAGATAGTAAGGTACAGCACGTGTAGGGAGTTGTGTTGTTCTCTTGTCTTTCAAAACAGGAACCACGCCCCCACCGCCAGCGGGAAGGAGTCAGATTAACAGGAGGCAGGGGCGTGGTGTGATGAAGGAGGAAGTGGAACTGCCAATGAGAAGAGGACAACGCCTTGCGTGCACAATGACACTCTGTTACGCTCAAATATACTGGGTCAGGGGAAGGACAGGAGGTCAGACTTCGTGAACTGACACACCTTTGTTGTTCGTCAGGGACGTGAAGTTGAGACCCAGAGCTCTGTAATTTTATTCCTTTACTGCTTAATAAACTACATTAACTGAGACCGAATATCTTCTCCTATTGCTTCATTAAAGAACACGCAGGACTGAGCTCACACATAGCACATTGGAGAGTAGGATGAGACTCTTAGTCCGACAATATGTTGTAAGTTTCATATTTACAAGTTGATGTGCCTTGTTATAGATTAGACTAGTACACTAGTGAAAGGTGTTAAAATTAGTTCTACCATGACATCATTTAAATGCTGCTCAATTAATACTCAATACATATTCATGTAGCTATGATGATTACAACACTTGAAATTGGGTCACTCTGCGTAATGACTACTTTTCATTTTAAATAGGCCTACATTTTGTTGACAATACCCATATACGTCTCATTCTCATCCTCAGCCTCATCCTCATTCTCCGCTGTCATTCTCGGATCTGCCTCCTCAGCTGGGCAGCCTCCTCCTCAGCCTGCAGGTACAGTAATCCTGCTGCAATAACTGCGCCAAGACGCCTTCTCCGATCCATGTCATTTATTAATTTTTGATTTCCAACTCGCCAATGCTCACGATCACAATAACCACCAACTCTCCACAAACTTTTCCCCCCCACAACTTTTTTTTGATTATAATCAGAGGCCAGGTACGGGATATGGATATCGATTAAATATCATCAAAAGCCAGGTGCGGGGACAAGGTTTTATAAGACATTTTATGAAAATGTTTTGGCTATTTATATGTTTTTGTATGTCAGTTTTATATGTTGAAACGTTAAAAACATATACACATTAATTTCTTACAATGACAATGAAAAGACGCAGGGCTGGGCTGTGTTTATATTGTTTTATTCTAAATGCATGTATACAACACAGTACAACAGCCAAGGCGAGCGGAGGTGGTGACATCATCAAGTTCGCTGCTGTTCCAAAAGCAGAAATGACTGTACTCCCGTACTCGGAAAGTCCGGACTCTCGCGTGGACTTGCCAAGTCCGAACTTGCCAAGTCCACAAGTCCGAACTGCTGAACTTGAGTAGCCTATTGAGAAACGCCAAAGGAGGCAAAGGGCGCGAGTTTTCTAGTACAACAAAGGTGAGTAACGTCAAACTATTTATTTGTACAATTGAAAATACAAGACAAGATCTTCGTCTGGTCTGGAAATGTTGTTGAATTAATGTTTAGCTTGATTTGTGTATGTAACAAGATTGAAATGATTTAATCATTTTTGACATATAGGCCTAGTTGTAAAGTAATCACTGCAAACTTACATTACAATATAATTCAAGCAAGCCAACAGCAACAGTATTGACTTGATATTATGTGCTGTGCTCTTTTGCTTGACTGTCCCATTATTTTTGCTCTTCAGTTTTCAAAATGAAGACAAAGAGGGACATTATGTCCTATTTTGTCCCTCGCCCTCGAACTATAACAGTAAGCAGTGGACAAGGTGGGTACTGATGCAGAGACAGAGTAGACAGAAAGAGAAGAGAAGCAGCATGAAGTTGAGATACTTGGAGGGACAGCTGAAAGTCACGCAGGAGAAGAAAGCGCAGATGAGGGACAGGCAGAAGAAAGAGGGGCAGATCAGAGAGAGACAGAGGCTTGTACTTCTGCATCTACACTCACTGTACCATCAGGTTAGTGATAGGGACCGAACATTTGCCTATTTGAAAAAATGTAACTACAGTATGTTCATGAAGACGGGTTTAGTCTTATGGTTTATTATTAATCAGATTATCTCATTTCAACAGTCTGTTGCTGTTGAAATGAGATAATGTTGGTGTCTTTATTGCTCTATTATATCTATTTAAAAGTGGTTTGTCTTTCTCCAGCTATCAGCCAAGTTTGGCAAGATCCACCAGAGGAAGAAAGCTCCCTTTCTTTTTTTACAAGATATTTTTTGGGGCATTTTGCCTTTAACAGACAGGACAGGTAAGCATGAAGAGGGGAGAGAGAGTGGGATGACATGCAGCAAAGGGCCACAGGCTGGATTTGAACCCTGGCCGCTGAGACAACAGCCTTGTACATGGGGCGCCTGCTCTATCCACTAATCCACCAACAACCCAGAAAGCTCCCTTTCATTCAAGATTTGTGAACTTTAGTGTTTATATTGGATTGTTCTTTTCTTTTATCAATGAATGAAATAAACTGAGCTAAACTAGCTAAAAGAGTTGTGTTGTTGTATCTATGTATGTAATGTAATTTTTTTGTAAGAATGTAAGAATCGCTTTAGATTTCAGTTCATCATAGTTTAATAAAACTTCCTTATAATACAAATTCAACAGATGTTTTGTTCATTCTTTAGTGAATAAAAACTATTATGAGACACAATCTGTGACTTTTGATCAGTAACCTATAAAAATAATTGTCCCATTGAAACCTCATATCACCAATGCATGCTAACTAACAGGCCTATCAAAGCAGGATGGTTACTTGTTAATGCAGACACCATATTAGTTTGCTGTTAAATGTTTCAACAGAACAAGCTGGATGTGAACACCACAGCTGAAAAAAAAGATACACATGGAGCTTATTATCACAGAGCAGGCAGATAGTTCAATACACAGAGCTCTGTTTCAACTTTCATGTCCATCCAACATGTCACTGCGAATGAAATTTGCTTATGTTACATTTCTGCACCTTTGGAACATGGTGAAATGATTAATAAATTAAACAAAAATATCAAATAAAAGGAGTTAATCCATGCATTTATGACTTGGCAATATTCAAGAGACAATTAAAACAAAATAAAATAGGGTCATTGTTGAGCAAAAATCCTTGCTGCTTCTCAACACAATACTGCAGAACATAAAGGAAAAGCCACAGACAAGGTTTTGTTGCGAACAGAAGAGTAACGTTCACATTAAGGCCTACCAGCTGGTAGTCTTAACAGAGTACCACTTGGTAGTTCAAATTCAAATCTGAACCATCTGCAGGAAGTGTTGACTTAATAGAGGTTGAAAAGTAACTGGTGAATATCGCATGCCTCTTCTTGTACTGATGAAATTGGTGCTGGAATTATCAAAATAGCCTACGTAAACATGTAGAAAGGTTTGTGTGTGCATTAATAGCAAATGAAAATATCTGAAACAAAATCTGATAATACATATTTATAAAGCAAGGAAAACGAGGGCCTGGGGACTATTTGAACATATCTTGTAAATCAGTATCAGCATATGTCTTCCTGAAGGTAACATGAAATGTCAGTACAGAAATGTCCCGATATATGTTTTCAGGTCATTTAGAAACAGTGTCTCTGTTAGAGTTAGTCCAGCAGGGAGCTCTGACAAGGTGGATTTTACACTGTAAAATGATCTTTGTGTACAAACATCAGCTGCGGATACTGTCAAAAATCCAGTATGGTCGAGCTCTAAAAGATAAAATGAAATCAAAGATATTAGTTCTGTACTTTGCCTAACAATCAGGATAACCAGATAACACTAGGCCAGATTATCCTGATACAGTCAGTATAAGGTAAACTTTACGTGTCGCACAACTTTTCCACAATGAGGAGCTGGAGTTGGAGCCAGCTCCTCAACCAAATCACGAGACATCGACCATGCCAAACTACTGGTAGTTTGCCCTATCCAAGAGGCTCAATCAGATGCTGTTTAAGGGTGCTTATGTTGCTGGTGAACACTGACTGCGGACAAGTGAAAGCCAGTGTGGTTCACAGACTCCTCCTCAGACCCAGCACTGAGCCCTTCTTGGCATGAGTCTCATCAGAACAGTTAAGAGTGCAAGTTCATATGTTAAATGGGTACAAAAATAAAACTTCTAAAACAGACTCAAGCTAAAATATGTGTACATGTTTGTTTTAAATGGTAGTGAGAAAACAAGCAGAATTAAAAATCTACCATTTTTACAGAGGATTAACATGCATCATAGGAAAAGTTTTTCAACACGTAAGCAATGTGCTCAAATAAAAAAAGCCTTTGTTCATACACCATAAAGAATCATCTACAATTTGTAACATTTCTATTGTAACATCTGTTTGTTAGGAACTGTACTTAGAGAGGTTACTCAAAATAGTGAATAGTTCTTCTGATATAGACAAACCAGAGCTGGGTTTCAGACCTTAATACCTTTTCCCTGTACCAACCAAAATATGTCTGTAGTAGAGTATCAAAAACTGTCAAGTACCAAAAGTTGGCAAGATATAGATGGTAATTAAAACACACGCACTCACGCACGCACACGCACACACACACGACAAACAAAATTACCAAATAATACTGTTGTTCATTTAACATTCTGTTTTTGCTGAACAGTTTTCCATATCCTCTAGATGATTTTAGTGGAAGCTGTAGTTTTCTGTATGTTAAAAAATGACTTGGTCAGCTTTGTTTTGATCCTGAAGGTTTCTGCTTGGAATTCTAAATATCTGTAGTAGATACTAAAGATGGACAGTAAACTGTAGACCACAGAGCTGCGGAGGCTAGTGTAACAGCAAGCAGATAAAATTCATAGAACCCTGGTTACATCTGTAACTCTCATTTGATGTTATTAGTTGAAAAGTGATCAAGTCTGTCAATAACAGTAGTTGGGACAAGATCTGCCTGACATACACGGCCCACGTTTAATAGCTGTGTTGACAAAAACAGAAACGGATGGGATGGATGAGAGAATGACATTTAAGTAATGTTTTCTTTGTTGCACCATACAGCTAAATCCATTATCCGAACATGAAAGGAGAAGTGTTTAAGCTAAAACGGGATGACAAAAAAATCAGAAAGATAGTGGCATGAAGGGTCCAGACCTGGGTCGTTGTGTATGTAAGCCAAGCTGCAGGCTCATGTACACACAGTGAATGAGTGGTTAACAGAATATCAGTGACAGACATGAAGCACACCGAAAAACCCCAAACACAAAGTGCACTCACAGCCACACTAGAATATCACAGTAATATCAAAGGAACAATGAGAACCATTACCGGTCACAATAAGCGGTACAAGCTTGAAAACAAAATCCCATAGTATGACATTTCCTTTTGTATTTCACACCCATGAACTGGGATTCCCTCCTGGTGCCGTGACTAGGGCCAGTGACAGGCAAACATGATGGTTGCTCTCAGACTCATTCCATGTGAGAGAGCAAAGGCCTAACAGGTGCCCTTCATCCTTTTATCTTGCCTCTATCAAGTTCTTCAGGTGGGACATGGTTATGTCTATCACAGGCAACATTTTGCGTTTGTTTTGAGTAAAGAAATGTTTTTTGAAATCATATTAGTGAGATTCACTTCAGTCTTTTTGAACACCTGGCAATTTCACCTAATTTTAAAAGCCAGCTCATCAAAGCTGTATGTAGTGGTTTCAGCCAGCATAACCAGAGTCCCTCAGTGTTCTGCTTGTCTTTCAGTGTTTTCAGTTGCCTTTAAAAAACAAAAGCACAACTAACACATGGAGACCAGGACATCTCCCTGAAGTTAGAAAAGGTTTTTTTTTTTTGTGATTTTTTTTTCTTTGATGTGGGCAGGTCCTCAGTAGTTGTGTACAGGTCTCTCCTGATGGTGTCTGTAGGGAGAGTGTTGTTAGGAAGGGGTTAGGAGGGATCCTCAGGCCTCGGAGCTTAGGGAGGTCCTTGTTGGACTGGGAGGGAGGCGAGCTGCTGCGCTGTGCTCTGTGCGGAAACTGTAATCATACTGACAGAGGGAGATTCAATTATTATGACTTTGCAATGAGGTCTGACAAAAATCATCCAAGCCTATGCTGAATTCATCAAATCATCTGCAAAACATGTGTGAGTTACAACCATACAATAGATCCAAATAAAGACCACACTGGCATCTGGTGGACATGTGTCATTACAAGAACATGTCTCCATCATCTGTCAGTGGAAATGTTTGTCATTTTCATAGCCACTACCTCACACACATTCTGCAAGTCAAACCAGTGCAGTTAAAGATTTAGGGTGCTTTCACGCCTGTAGTTGGATTCTATTGGTCGCACCAGAGGGAAAAAATGATACATTGTTGCATTTTAGTTTTGGTTCCTGTTCACACTGACTTTTTGTAAATGAACCAAAAGGAGTTAACATGAGGTTCTACTGACTGACAGGTAACTTGTTGATTGGACAGTTTTGGTGTTTGTCATCCTGCATCATCAGGACCCACATGAGAATATCAAGTTCTGGGGACTTACAGAAATTTATGCAGCAGCATGTTAATGCTTCTTAAGTGTTTCTTTTTCTGTTCTTTGATTTCACAAAGAGCTCACAGAGAAATAACTCATTGTAAGCATTATTAGGAGGCTATTATTAGACTGCAAATCAATGGCATGTTATGAATAATGACTAAAACAGAGACAGGATGAAAAGAAGGCGTCTTTTTAATGGACTTTATGAACAGACAAAGTACAGAGTCGGATACATTGATGGCAGTTTTAACAGCTTTTTAATCAGGGAAAATACCCACACTGATGTGCATATGTGTTAGCATGGTTAAATAACCATGCTAACACATATGCACGAAAATACCCACACTGATGTGCATATGTGTTAGCATGGTTAAATAACCATGCTAACACATATGCACGTCAGTGTGGGTATTTTCCCTAATGAATTCATGTGTATTCATTAGCATAAATAGGTAATAGGATATACATGGCCTTTATCAGGATCAACGATGAGATCGCAGACAGATTTCAGGATCAGCAGATGGATTTAATACTGGTTTAACTGTTGGTAAAATCACATATTTTCTATCATAAAATCCTGTGGTTGGTTTGTTTTCTTTCTCACCACAAACGAACTGCACCAGGGTCTGTTTGGAGGCGGACTGAGACCCACCTTTTCGAACTGTCTCGTTTTGGTTGTTTGGTCCACACCAGGGTTCGTTTGACAGCTTTCACATCAGCCTAAATCAACTGTGCTAATTGCGCAAATGGACCTGAGATTGTTTTAACTGAACCAAACAGGTAGAGGTACATTGATAAACTGTTGGCTTATCATGTGACTGCTCCTGTTTGTATACCTGTCTGACTTTGATGGAAGATGTCGATGTTCCCATATTTCAGTCAATACTTTGGTGATTACTATGTTATCAATAAATGATGTACAAAGATATGAAAATTAAATTACTTTGTAATAATCTAGAATTCTCCTTTATGTTATGTTATAGACATGTTATAATATTAGGAGTAACTGCAACTTCATAACATTTGTCCACTCACCTCTTTCTCAATCTCAGCCAGTGACTTGATTGTAATACCCATCAGATCCACCTGCTGTAGCTTAACATGAAGAACAGTGATGGTTAGTTTGTTGCTTGGTTGTCCAGTTATGTAAACAAGTTCAGCTTTAGTAACTCTGCTGTTTCCTATGCAATTCTTTACTTACTGAAATATCACTGCTATAAATATTTCAAATGTGGTGTACTTTTACAGACTATGTGACAGTCAAACAGGAGTGGCTTACAGGTTAAGCATGTTTTAACACTGGTTCAGGGCTTCAGACTCAATTTTTACAGTGGTTGCACTGGTGTGCCCAACTTTTTCATTTAGGTATATCAGCACATAATTTAGGCGCACCCAAAGTTTTACACTGCACCTTCTGCGGCCATAATAGATTGTAATTGGGATCTATGCCCAGTTTCAAAATTCATTTATGTTGCTGCTATGGTCTAAGACAGGGGTACTCAAATACAAATCTTAAAGGTCCACAAATGAAATGAAAAGGTCCATTTATTAGAGTTGGTCAAGCTGCAAGCCATAATACTGTCATATTCAAAACAAAATGTCCTTTTTATTCAAAACAACAAAAATACATATTAAAATAAAATAAAATGCCATTTCCATTTTGACATAAATTCAAATAAATACTCAAATAAAACAAAACCTTTGTTTTTGAACTTGGAACATGCCATTTTCATTCAATCTAGGCTCCCACTGCTGGCCACGTATTGGTTAGCATACAGCTTCAAAAGCGAAAGTAAAAAATTACTGTTCTCGCTAACAGCCTATCAGGGCATCGTTGGCATGGAGATGACAGCCCATTTACACGTGCTGACCAGACCAAAACACACGCAGTGAAGGAGTCATGTGTTCTGCTCGCGGTCCGCAAACAGTCGGCTCGCCGGCCGGAAGCGGGCCACTGGTCTAAGACATTTTCAAAAATATATATAAAAATTAACAATTATCTCCCAAATCCAAAAACTAGGGTGTTAAAACTCAAATTTGTGATGTCATAGGGTATAGAGTCTGGAGCTGCTCCACAGACAAGGAATTGAGAAAGATGTTACAGATGACACTGAAGCATTCATTCTGAGTGTATGGGTACATTTTCTGTTTAACATATGAGAACACTGCAATAGAATAAAGCTTATCTGGGTATTAACAAAAAATGAAAAACATTTCTTGGTTTCATCAAATCAGTCTCCCATTCATGTCTATGGAGCAGCTCCTGCTTTTATACACCATGACATCCAAAGTTTGAGACCTACTTCTCTTGTTCTTTGGCTTTGACAAAGACCAGCTCAATCTCACATATATTAACTGAACTTTGCTAGGCCATAGCTGCAATGATAGCTAATATACAAATATTCAAAATTAAATAAGACTAGTTCTTTTTCACATTGCATCTCCCAGAAAGAAATTATAAATAAAACTGTACAAAAACTTTTTACCCCGATTGAAATTAAAGAGTAGAAAAGGTAGAGCAGATCTCCACTAATCGGAAGATCGGGGGTTCAATCCCTGGCTCCTCTAGTCCGCATATTGAAGTATCCTTGGGCAAGATACTGAATCAGCCCGATGGCTGTTCCCATGCAAGTGAATGATTACTAAGTACAAGTGGAACCTTGTATGGTAGCCACCATTGTGTGAATATGCACGTGAATGGGTGAATGTGACATGTAGTGTTAAAGTGTGTGGTCAGAAGACTAGAAAAAGCACTATACAAGTGCAATCATTTACCATTTACTATTCCCCTGTCCCAGTGGATTAATGACCCAACACAGTGGCTACATATTGCTTTTACATGTAAAGAAACGACACCTGGTGATCCTATCAAATATGTAGGTATCGTTAGGTTAAGTGTTGTCTGTACATAACCAACTTTTTGATCTTGGCTGAGTGAATATACTCAACTGAGGCTGATTCAGTTGGAGAGGACAGTCTGATGCTGCTATACTGTATTACTGTTAATGTCACTGCATTACTGACAGTGAATATTTACCAATCTTATGTGTCTCTGACATCAATGTGAATGTCTTAATTAACCCTCTACACATCAACTTTCCAGCATTTTACAGTTTCTCTTCTGATGTGACAGCGTGTTTCTTTTCCCCAATGATCATGCAGTATCAATCTGGTCTATGTGTATAACATGATACTAGTGGCGTTTCAATGGTCAAGCAGCGCAGCACTAGATTTTAAGTAAGCGATTGCAATCATACTATTTCTCCTAACTTTAGACATGTTTTGGTATTTTTATGAACATATTTAAATAATAGCCAAAAAATGTTAACTTTTCCAACCCATTACCTGGCCTGAAAAACAGCTTTTCTGATTTCAGATCTTTTCCAGGAATATATTAAGAACCCTGACAAATAGAATTGTGCCAAGAATATAGGCCAACTACAATAAACATACCATCAAGAATGCAACCAAATGAAAAAAGAGTTTATTGGACACATACGTTTGGCCAAATGGAATGCCATTGCATTGGCTGTTTTTTTAGTCTGTTTTTGAGAGTTGGATGGATAAGTATCCACTGCTCTATTTTTATTTATTTTTACAGCAGTCACAGTACCATGACAATGTCAGGGATGTATGAGTTAAAGCTGGACAAGGATGGGGATTCATTGAGCTAACGTAAGCGACGTTATTCTTCTTGGCCTTCATGCATTCATCATACTGCAGTTTGTGTTGTTTTTTCAGGTGGCTGAACAAGTTAGATGTGGTACTATGCAGCACAGACACAAGTCTCGTGCACTTTTGACATGATTTATTCTCTCCTAAATCCGAAATACTTTGTTACAACAGATAATGATGGCTAATGAACAGGTGATTTTAGTTTTGCCGTCTGCTCTCTGTTATATGTTACTTTTCTACTCTGGACTGCAGCCGCCACGTTTAGGAAAGTTTTTCTCAAGTTACCAGCGACATGATACTGTATGTGTGTATATTTGATAGGTTACAATATTTTTTCCACTATACTATATATCTTTCTACTCTTGTAAGGAGCACCTGTAACGCCAACAATTTCCCCCCAGGGATCAATAAAGTCTCTCTAATTCTCATAGCTGCCCTGGCTGTTAATTTAGGAAGCACTTGATTTGATATGCAGCAGAGTTTTCTTTGAGTAGACAAGCGTTCTAAATGTCACAGTTAATATTGCAATTGATCATATTTATTTAATTGTGGGAAGCTAAAATTGTTATTGTGATTAAATGGTAAATAGATTGCACTTGCCACTCAAGGTGCTTTTACACTACATAACACATTCTCACACACACACACACTCACACACCTCTTAGCCACAGCTGCCCCATTCATATCTGATTAATTGTGCAGCCCTGATTTTAGTTGATTAAATCTACATTAGATTTAGTCTACTAAAATTAAAACAATTCAGATAATAAAAATGTGACTAAATCGAAATGGCGTTTCAGTCAAAATTAACAATGCATCAATGTAATAAATGTCAGACCCACTGGTGCAACTAATAAAGATGTTAAGTTGTATTTGACAGATTTTTGGTCACATCTGAAGCCCTGCAATGGTTATATTTAACACAGGTGCAGTATTTGAGCAGAGGTGTTTAAGCACATGACTGGACAAAGTCATGTGTAGAAGATCACACCTGTAACCCAGCATCAGATCAACCTGCAAACAAAAGGCTTAAGACTCAACTCAGGGAACTTACATCTGATGAGGTGCAGGCAAACTTCTCAGAGATCACGAAAGGCACTCCATCCATTGCTGAAACAGACAGTTTTAATAAACACTTGATAAATGTGTCTTATACAGTAGCAGCAAAAAAGTATCAGAAAAAAAAAAAAAAATTCCATTCCTCTAGGATTTTTTCCAGCAGCGGCGCTCAAGTGTGAGATTTTTATTTTGCGCAGCTGGATGATAGTAAGCATGTACACTGATACAAGAAGAAGAAGACTTTAGACACAAATTTGTACACAGTTGTAGATTTTGAATTCAGCTTAATACATTTCTTCCCATACCCCATATGCTGTTACATTTGTTCCTACCAAGTAGGGACAGATGTCACATTTCACTTTATTCAAAAAATATTGTGACTCGATCTAAAATAGCTTGTGAAAACAAATGTTAACAAGTAGAACACATACAAGTTATTAACATTAAAACTATATCCAAATAATTCAAAAGCTTTTTGAATAATCACATCAAAACCAAAAATTGGTACAATTGCCCCGTCTCCTCTAGTCATCCCTGCTCTTCCAGTCACAGAGACTTAACGACTCAAATCCTGGAGCAATGCAGATGGTAAAGAGCTAAGGCACATAAATTTGCAAAGACGCCCTCTGCCATCTGCCAGGTACAGAGTAAACCAGGATTCCTGTGCCAGACGCCATCGAAGGTGAGTAGTTGCCCACTCAGGTCAGTAGCGAATACGAACTGCTGTCAGGATAAGACCCTGGTGAGAATGATGAGCATGTAGATAAGCTTCACTAAGACACTTTCTGACAGTTTGAAATTCTTTGGTTTTGCAAACCAAGTGTTGCATCAGCTGCTCTGGTGGGTGGTCACAGACAATCTTACAAGTGAAGATATGGAGCTCCTGAGCTGGTGTGCTTACAACATAGACTGTAGCTTCCGTGACATCACCCATTGGTTTGTGGACTCCCGTTTTGAAGCCTTTAGCTTGGGATTACTGTACATTCACATCAAAAGCTGCCAGAGCTGCAAAAGGCTCCCTAGGTTTACAGCTTTGGGGGGGAGGAATGGCAAATCAAAAATTTTTGCTCATATTCGGTTCAGGTTTGGCCCACTTGACATGCTACTGTGTTATGGTACGGCCTATTCAAGTGCTGAACTTTGTTATTTACGTGACAATGCCTGAACGCAACACAGGCTATGTGTGTTTAATGTTTAATGTCAGATCTATTTAGAATTTTTATTCTGTTTTCATTGTCCAAACGTGAAAGTTTCTGTACTCAGGCAAATGCACGAAGTCACATTTCTGTGCTCCAGCCAGTAACCTGCTTTGCGGCGCCTTTAAATTAAAAGCATAATCGAACATTCAGAATTTCATGTCTTGAGCGACCTGAGCTGCTTTCGCTGCCACAAATATTTTACCAGCAGCACTGCCAGAGCGAATTCAGCTATTTTGCAGCTCTGGCAGCTTTTGGTATGAACGTAGAGTTACAGCTGTCACTATCTTGTGTTTCTGGACCCATATTTGACCATGTGACCGTATTTGGGCAAGAGGGTGACGCTACAGGAGAGACAGCTAGGTCTGACTGAGTAGCTGAGGACACTATGGGCAGATTTTTACTCAAAATCATAATAAAATATGAATGGTTGAGTTATATAAAAATGTACTGCCTGTACAGTTGCCAAGAAGAGTAAACTTAGCTATATGTCTAAAATTTTACTGTACCAGGCTTCAACATGTTAATTTCTGCTGTAAAGTTGGACATATTAATATGGGGGTCTATAGGGACTGACTGGCTTCTGGAGCCAGCCTAAAGTGGACATTTAAAGAAATGCAGTTTTTGGCACTTCCGTGTTGGCTTCATATTTCAGCCTTGGGGGTCGCTGCTTGGCTTACACGTGGTCTGTGGTTGTAAAGCCAACTGGATGTACTGCCAAATTAATGGAAACGGCTTCTGGTAGTGAAATGAACATTCTGTTCACAGGCAACAGCTCTGGTGGACATTCCTGCCGTCAGCCAGGCTTCATCAAAACTTAAACATCTGTAGCATTGTCTTGAGTGACATAACTGCACATTTTAGGGTGGCCCTTTGTTGTGACCATCCCAAAGCACACCTGTGTAATAATGATACTGTTAAATCAGAATATAAATATGCCACGCCTGTCAGGTGGATGGATTATCTAGAAAGTCTTTAATGTGCAAAAATCCAAAATCTTTAATTTAAACCTGTGAAAAATGGGAGCACAAACAAAGGTGCTGCATTTAAAATTTTGTTCAGTGTATTTAGAACAAATACGGGCTGATAACGTTTGGTGGCCGACTGAACTAAGCACCTCTATCTGGCAGTATCTGATTTATAATCTCTGCTTGTCCCTGACTCTGACTTCTTTAAAGCCCAACTTGCAGGTTGAAGACCATGGTGAATAAATGTGTAGGAAAATGATGTAGAAACTCGATTATAACAAAAACAAAAACATATACACACTACAGTGACTTTTGGGGTCGTTTTTGTGAGAGAATTTTGCTTCCGCATCTAAAAACCCACTAACTGGAAGTGACGTAGCGTAAGGGAGTCCGACCGAGTTCGATTGAGTGTAACATTAATAAACATGGATTCCAGTACTAGTTTTGAGACTGAAGAGGTTGAAAATGTACATTCACATGCATATGACGGCCCACAGGCTTATAATTATGAGCCTGCTAGGTGTCCAAGAGACCAGGAACAGATCAGGGTTAGGAGAAATAACGGCCACAGGAGAGAAATAGAGCTGTGGTGTGAGGAGAACCAGTGGAGAACTGGGCAGGTGTCTTGGTGAGCGACCAGTGTTAGCTAACGACAGCTAACGATGTCTAATGCTATGTTCACATCACAACATTAAATTTGCCATCACGTATTAGGTTATAACAAAGCTACCAATAGTTCTGCCAGCATTAGATAACTAATGCTACTTACCCAGAACACAAACTAATGCGCAAATATCAGCTTGTATTTGGGGGAGAGGGAGAGAGAGAGAGATATGAAGATTTCCTGATAATTTTTTGTATGATATGTGCTTGTGTGTGAACTGCCAGCCCATGTCCTCAGCTGTGGAGTATGTGCTGCAGGGAGGATGCCTTCTGGGCTCTGTTGGAGAATCTGACCCCAGACCAGACATGACATGCCTCACACTGCCCATCAACCCTCACGCTGCCCGCTCCCGTCTCAAACACGGAGGCCTCCCTCTCCGCTGAGCCCGCCCGCCCTCGCACATACCCCCGAACCTTGGGTCCCGTGGAGAGGGAGACCCGAGCCTCGGGGGTATGTGCGAGGGCGGGCGGGCTCCGCCAGGAACATAATCCTCCTGTCCAAAATGAGCGCTGCACACAACTGCGTTTTTGGTCACAGATGAAGCCGTGAAATCGCTCCTCTTCACCTGCACAAAACGCACCCAAGCACGAAAACTAGCTCCACTCCTTTTTCTGTCCGGAAAACGGTGGACTCGATGTCCTGACAGACTCGAGTTTGTGCAACCTGCATAAACACAATAATTCGGCATAATCACAAATGGTGAAATGCACTGTTAACAACCGAAAAAATTCTAACTCACAAGTTTACTACCGCTCAGACTCACTACCACCTACTACCGCGCATTGGACAGAGGCAGGAAGGACGCAGAGTACCTCTCGTGAAGTAGTATCAGGCGATGTTGAGAAAAAAAAAAAAGCGTTTTTAGAAGAGGAGCTAAAAAGAACCACTTTTTCCTCTGAATTTGTGCCCTTATGTCATGTAAACCATAATAAATTCTGAATGTAAGAATGTGGCCAAAACTGTTACTGCACTCAATTTCAAAATTCGAGGTTGCTGGACAGCGGCACGCTGGAGACTGATTTGTTTGCCCATGGGCGCTGCGTCGCTGCGTCCTTGATCTTCGGTTTTCCAGTGGCCCGTTTAAGCAAGTCCGGCTTCTCTGTTGCTAACGCTGCTGCCAGGATACAGCGGTGGAGGAGCCGACTGCTAATGCTATGTACCGGGACACTGCTAACGCTGTTGCCAGGATACAGCTGAGGGGGAGCCGGCTGCTAATGCTATGTACCGGGACACTGTTAACGCTGCTGCCAGGATACAGTGGTGGAGGAGCCGGCTGCTAATGCTATGTACCGTATATATATTTTAAAAAAATTTAACCTGCAAGTTGCACTTTAAGTAGAGATAGTGAGTTAACAGCTCATAATTAAATGTTATTTTACTCAGGATTACACAATGCAGCACTGCTGCTAAATGCATACAGATGTACAAAAATAACCAAGGGACCTATTTTAATAGCGCAAGCACAAAAAACAGAGCATAGTTGTAGTTTTAGGGCGCAATGACTGTGCCACAATGACCTGCCATTTTGGTTTGTGCAGCTGCAGTAGCACCAATTGCAAAGAGAGTGGTTGAAATAGAACATATCTCAGAGGTAGGGCTGTCCCATTCAGAAACTTTAGTTGGTGATTAACTGTCATGTCATTGCAATGTATTTGAATGGCAAACCCCTAACAATTAATTGTCTTTTTCTATTCATTTTAAGGCACCACTAAAGTATAAGCCTATTACCATATATTGAAATAATGGCTGAGGTTTTGGTCGCCACAAACAAAAAAAAGCTGAATCCAGATACAGAATTAAAGAAAAAACAAGGCTGCATATGTACTGTGCATGCCAACTCAGAATGATGTACATTTTCATCGCTTTAGTTTTATATTCATATTAACCAATATCATGATTTTATTTTCAACACTTTGTTGTTCTGGATTAAACATCTGAAGTGCTACTGTCCTATTTCAGTCGTTGTGGATGTATGTGTGTTGATGTTCCAGTCAAACTGTGTTTTGTTGTGACGTAAAAGTGATACAAGATAGCAGTGGCTACACTTAAAGAACCATACGGGAATAGTCGCTGAAGTTTTACAACATATTCTTGCAAATGTTTCACAGTAAAAGCCTTGTAAGGAAATTAAAAGATCCTGTCCACTGAAATTCTATTAGGGCTTTAAATGTGAAATGGACACTTTTGTATTAATAGCATAATGCCACAACAAATATTTAACAGTGCAAATGGGAGGAGATCAGAAAATGAGGCTTCATACTAAAATAAGCCCACATATACTATGTGAATAGACACCTAGGCTTCTTCTAATACAAGCCTGCCTGCTTCAAATAAGCCTTGTGAATTTCAAGGACAGGAAAATACCAAACTGTCAGAACCCTGGCTTTGCTTGCTAGCTTTGCTAATACCTCTGCCAAGTTACTGTTCCCTGTTTGATGTTCTTGAAACCATCACTATGTTAAAGCCAAGAGGAAAACTTGTAGTTTTCAAAGTACATTTTTAAACATACCAACATTGGCACGTTTTCTAAGATTATTTTTAGGGCCCTTTGCCTTTATTTTAGTGCAGCTAGGGAGTGACAGAAAGGGAAGGAGAGAGTAGGGGAATGACATGCAGCAAAGGGCCATGGGTTAAAATTGAACTTGGGCCACTGCAAAGGACTCAGCCTATATGGGGCGCATATTCTAACAGATGAGCTGATAACTACAGGTCACCCCTGTTGGCACATTTTTAATAAGGCATTTGTGATTTGGTGAATAGGATGTTGAAAAGATGACAAACTGCTGACCTGAGATAGCATACAGGTTGGAGTTCTGGTGCTCATAGTCTGGTCTGGTAGTGTTCTTCCCTCTGAAGCTGGCTGGGAGTGTCATAGAAATATGCCTTGGGGAGAAAAAAAAGAAAACAAAAACATCTGGTTAATTCAATGAAGACAAAATAATGAACCTATATACCTGTCTCTTGCTGCATGTCCACACTGTGCTGGTGTTCAGTGATTTATCTTTGGAAAGCTTTAATAATCAGGGTTTTTAATCTCCAAAGAAATAGTTCATTTTAATTTGGTAATTCTGACATACACTTCTAAACATGGAGCAGGTACAGAGAATGGACCACAGCTCGATCCTCTAGGGCATTGTCTCTTTTCCATGATTTCTCTCCTGCCTTCACTTTTTAACACAAGCCAAAAGGCTTTAAGGAATCTATTTAGAATTATTCATTTCCTCTTATGTTTGAGGTAAATTACCCTACTGCATTACATGTATTTGTAATTAAATGTGCTGTTAAGTGGATTCATGATCACATAAAACCTGTAACATTCTGAACTACACAAAATAACCAAAGGCTGCAATAGATGATTGTTGCAATTAACGTCAAAAATTGTATGGACATTCAGAGTCTGAGGTCTGGTTGTTAAAACTAGAATATTAGAATATTAGCTTTTTTTGAAGAAAACAATCTTGTAAGAGCTGGAAGCTGTTAGCTGCTACTGCTCACAGTTGCGGCTGCTGCCATGCCCTTAAGTTCAACAGATGCCAACAAAAAAGGCTGTAACGCCAGGTTCTCACTGGCAAGGATGCTACATGAAACGCTAAGATTTTCTGTTGAGCACTAAAAGTACCAATACCACAATGTAAAAATAGTCAGGTGCCCCATGTGCAAGGCTGTTGCCGCAGGGGCCCGGGTCTGAGTCCAGCCTGTGGCCCTTTGCTGCATCTCATCCCCCTTCTCTCTCCCCCCCCTTTCACACTTGGCTGTCCTGTCCATTAAAGGCAAAATAGAGCAATAAAGAAAACACCAACAGCAATAGATTATATGGAAAGAGTATTTAAGTATTTAAAGTAAAAGTAGTCATGCTGAAAAGTTTAAGTAAATTTAATAAACCAAAATAATTAAATTGATTAAAAGCAAAAGTACCAAGTCCTCATGTTTGAGAAGCTGGAACCATGAAATGTTTTTGCTTGAAAGATGATCAAAATAGTTGCAAATTAATTCTCTAATCAATCAACTAATTGTTTCAGCTGCAATTGATTTTTAAATTGTTTGGCTCATGTGCAAAAATCTTAATTTGTGAAGCATTTGAAGTTGCCAAATAATTGCAGTGGAGTAAAAAGTACAATATTTCACTCTGTATATGTTGGTTGAGTACAGGCTCAAGACATGAAAGTAAATTACTCAAGTAAAGTAAAAGTACAAGTAAAAAAAAGAGTAAACATTTGTGGGGTTTTTTCTTTTTCTTTTGAAGAGCAAAAATAGGAAAACACACAATGAAACCCCGAAATCATTAGGTAACGACAAAATTAAGAACAAACCATGGATATGAACACAAATAAGAGCAAATCTGTTAGTAAATTGTTTCTGGTGTGAGGCCCATTAACTCTTATGTTTTGTGTGATTGCGTTTCGAAGACAATCCTTTGTGTGTGTAGACAACTGACAGATTTAAGCTGTAACTGATATGACGGGCACCTGTGTCTGTTATGGTACTACACAGCTTCCAACAAAAAATGTTCTCATTTCTGACTATATGTGGACAAATGTAAATAGTATACTTGGTGTTTGTTTGTTTACTGCTAGAGCTGGGACAATATCCCTGTCTCCATTTTCACAAATATCACGATACTTGGGTGCCCATTGGATTTGCATTGCCATTTTTAAATATAGTGATTTTACAAGTATTGGGATTTGATAATAGAATTTATTGCGACTTTTGTTACATTTTTTTAACAGTAGGAAGTCCACAGTCCACAGACAAAGCTCACATAAACAACTGTAGCAACCTGAATTCAGCCATGGCAGACTCCAGAACCAGGATTCTCTCTGGGCCAGTAACCTAAACCAGTAACCACAGTAACAGAAAGTTTGCTGATCCGGTGGGGAGTTTGCACTGGGCTGGCTGAATTCCATCGGGCTGCTGATGGTCCACCATCTCTGCTTTGGCACTTCAGCTTTGTTTTTCTTGAAATACATGTGACATCACATTACTCATAGATTGCCACAATAAAAGCAGCAACTTCTTTCCACCTGCGCATTTGAATTTTATTAATTCAAGCATTAAAAATGATCTATTAAAAGATAGTCAAAACAAAAATCGTAATACTTAATTTTTTCCCCTATCCCTTGAAACTACCTGCTGAAAATGTAAAAAACTGCCTACTTTCAATTTTGATATCATCCTGGGGAACAGCAAGAGTGGGTAGTATCACTATTTCAACTCTCATGTCCTGACAAAATGTAAAATATTAGTACCATTCAAAACATAATCAAATTAATTTGATAGTTCCAAAAACACAATGTACATTTCTTACCATTGTGTAAATGCAATATACATGTGACCTAGCTGGAAAAGTGAGGATACATCAGACATATGTAAGGTCACACGTGTACAAACACATCATAAAACGGACATACTTGGGCATAGAGGCTGCTGCGACTGGAACTGAGCTGGAAGGGGAGTTCACATTCTGGATGTTGTTGGCGGATGGTGCAAGTGTGGAGTCCTGGGCCCGAGGTACGTTCCCCATGCGATACCAGATTCCCATGTTGTTGAGCTCTCTGTAATACAAGGTCATAAATACTAAAAAGCAGATAAAGCTTAAAAGACTTCCTCGGGTAATGCAGAAAAGTTACAGCAGTGTTTCCCCTACCATTATATTATCTTATTTACACGACAGCATGTCATTTCTGTATTCCTAAGTGCTATACAACTGGACTTGCTTGTGTTTCTTGAAGATGTTTCACCTCTCATCCAAGAAGCTTCTTCAGTTCTAAATGACTGGTGCAGAGTTGCACCCTGTGTGGGTGTGAACCCCTGCAGAGTTGTTAGGGTCACATGTGAGCTCTTAGTTTCAGAGTTGTTAAGGTCACAATGTGAGTTGTTGGCCCACCTGGCCACCATGTGAGTCGTTAGGGTCAGGTGGGACCAGGGGTAAATGGGTGTGAAGTCATCTTGGGAGACGTTTCTGTATCTACATGGTCGTGCGTTTACAATTCTCCTCTGCTCTGTATTGCGCACAGCGGAGTTCCGCCCCGATGCGTGCGCACGCGCGCACACACACGTGCGCGTGCACACACACACACACACACACACACACACACACACACACACAGGTGAGCACACGCCCACCAGCAGACAGAGAGCTCGCCTTGGAAAATATATCATGTCAACCACCTGAAAAGCAAACAAAAATATGATTTTTAAACGCTCCTAGTGTGGTGAGGATGGTGAAGAAGAAATGTTCTGATGTTTAGTTCAATGTACAGTTCAAATAATTGTTCAGTTGTTATTAGGGATGCACCGATCCACATTTTTTCACTTCCGATCTGATCCCCATACCTGAATTTGGATATCTGCCGATACCGATACTATTCCGATACCAGTGCTCTGTTTGCTTTAATATTATTTTCATTATTGTTGATTTTATATGAGGCTGAAATAAACTCCTCTCTACAGGCAAGTATGATATGTACATACAGTACAGGCCAAAAGTTTGGACACACCTTCTCATTCAATGCGTTTTCTTTATTTTCATGACTATTTACATTGTAGATTCTCACTGAAGGCATCAAAACTATGAATGAACACATGTGGAGTTATGTACTTAACAAAAAAAGGTGAAATAACTGAAAACATGTTTTATATTCTAGTTTCTTCAAAATAGCCACCCTTTGCTCTGATTACTGCTTTGCACACTCTTGGCATTCTCTCCATGAGCTTCAAGAGGTAGTCACCTGAAATGGTTTCCACTTCACAGGTGTGCCTTATCAGGGTTAATTAGTGGAATTTCTTGCTTTATCAATGGGGTTGGGACCATCAGTTGTGTTGTGCAGAAGTCAGGTTAATACACAGCCGACAGCCCTATTGGACAACTGTTAAAATTCATATTATGGCAAGAACCAATCAGCTAACTAAAGAAAAACGAGTGGCCATCATTACTTTAAGAAATGAAGGTCAGTCAGTCCGGAAAATTGCAAAAACTTTAAATGTGTCCCCAAGTGGAGTCGCAAAAACCATCAAGCGCTACAACGAAACTGGCACACATGAGGACCGACCCAGGAAAGGAAGACCAAGAGTCACCTCTGCTTCTGAGGATAAGTTCATCCGAGTCACCAGCCTCAGAAATCGCAAGTTAACAGCAGCTCAGATCAGAGACCAGATGAATGCCACACAGAGTTCTAGCAGCAGACCCATCTCTAGAACAACTGTTAAGAGGAGACTGCGCCAATCAGGCCTTCATGGTCAAATAGCTGCTAGGAAACCACTGCTAAGGAGAGGCAACAAGCAGAAGAGATTTGTTTGGGCCAAGAAACACAAGGAATGGACATTAGACCAGTGGAAATCTGTGCTTTGGTCTGATGAGTCCAAATTTGAGATCTTTGGTTCCAACCGCCGTGTCTTTGTGAGACGCAGAAAAGGTGAACGGATGGATTCCACATGCCTGGTTCCCACTGTGAAGCATGGAGGAGGAGGTGTGATGGTGTGGGGGTGTTTTGCTGGTGACACTGTTGGGGATTTATTCAAAATTGAAGGCACACTGAACCAGCATGGCTACCACAGCATCCTGCAGCGACATGCCATCCCATCCGGTTTGCGTTTAGTTGGACGATCATTTATTTTTCAACAGGACAATGACCCCAAACACACCTCCAGGCTGTGTAAGGGCTATTTGACCAAGAAGGAGAGTGATGGAGTGCTGCGGCAGATGACCTGGCCTCCACAGTCACCGGACCTGAACCCAATCGAGATGGTTTGGGGTGAGCTGGACCGCAGAGTGAAGGCAAAGGGGCCAACAAGTGCTAAACACCTCTGGGAACTCCTTCAAGACTGTTGGAAAACCATTTCAGGTGACTACCTCTTGAAGCTCATGGAGAGAATGCCAAGAGTGTGCAAAGCAGTAATCAGAGCAAAGGGTGGCTATTTTGAAGAAACTAGAATATAAAACATGTTTTCAGTTATTTCACCTTTTTTTGTTAAGTACATAACTCCACATGTGTTCATTCATAGTTTTGATGCCTTCAGTGAGAATCTACAATGTAAATAGTCATGAAAATAAAGAAAACACATTGAATGAGAAGGTGTGTCCAAACTTTTGGCCTGTACTATATGTATGCATGTATGTCCCAAAAGGCAACTTGAGGTAAGTATAAGGTCAGAAAAGGAGGTCAGAAACAAATATGCAACTATAAGGGTTTCAAATTGATTGTTGTAGCAACTCATAATGTAATAATGGCTCATAATGTAATAACGCTTCATAATGTAATAACAGAAATGTAATGAAAGTTCATAATGTGATAATCGGCTCATAATGTAATAATGTAATAACTTATTACACTATGAGCCTTACTGGTGCCGCTCATAATGTAATAACAGCTCATATGGCTCATATTGTGAGAAAAGTGTTGCATTATCATCATTTTTAGGTCAAAACTGCACACACTGACAACGAGAGTGCACTTATGGGCAGAGGTCTGTGTTTGTGTTTGACTATGATTTGTTTATAGGTGGCGCGACAGTAATCAACTCAAAAGCCGGCTGGAGAAGGGGGTGGATTAGGGAAGAAGGAGGGGGACTGTAGTTCATGCAGTTTAAAAGAGCATTTCCTTTGTTTACTATTGCTACAATAAATGCAGGACACAATAACTTCTACAAAAAACACATTTAAGATTGGTCTTTTCAAATAAGTAAGTGAACACTCTCTCCTTCTATACAACCTAGTGAAGACCTTCCAGTCAAAATGTTGCTGTTATTTTATTGTTGGTCTTAATGCCAATTTAATAAAGACTTTTAATAATATTGTTTTCCTACTACTTACGTTAAATACATGATAGCAGCGTAACATATTCATTCAATTTACTTTATTTTGGAACTTGTGCAAGAATGAGAAGAGCGTTTTAGAACCATGTAATAACAATGGACCAGCTCAAAAGTTCTTAAAATGTAAACACAGCCTGTCAGGACACCCAAGTAAAAAGTTAACATAAGTCCAAATAAACTTAACTAAACAATATGCATAAATAATGCATAACCATAAATTATAGTTGCCAACAAAAATTAAGTACAGGGGGCTCCATTTGTCAGTGACTGTGCCAGTGTTCACTCAGATCAAGGCTTAACGAGTGAATGGGATTTAAAAGAAGAAAACTTTACTTCTTCCAATGAATGTCTTTAATATGGACCCATCCAAAGGATATATGTTTAGTCACGATCCAGGCTGTAATCCACCTGGCATTTTGGCTGAAGAGCTGCCTGATATTGGACGCAAGGCCACTATTGCGTCCAGCCACTCTGTATAACCTACTAATACTTAGGCAGCAGTCTTCATCCATCATAATATTTAAACTTTCCACCAGCTGCTTACCTGCAACAGTCAGACAGTGGAAGTGAGCATTGCATTCTCAAAGGCCCAAAATACCTAACACGGGTGCCACCTAGTGGCTCAACTTTATACATCTTACATAATAAAATGTGAGAATGCAATTACGATTAAATAATTCTTGGTTTCACTAATTTAGTTTACTATGCGCTGAAACACGTGCTGTTTGCTTTATTTGCACCTTTAAGATGTAAAAATGATGATAATGCAGCAGTTTTCTCACAATATGAGCCATTATTACATTATGACCTGTTATTACATTATGGGCGACGCCAGTAAGGCTCATAATGTAACAGGTTATTACATTATTACATTATGCGCAAAGCCGTTATTACGTTATGTGCTCATGATTTTATTACATTATGAGCCGATTATTACATTTAGGGATGTCCGTATCGGCCACTGATATCAGCAAAAAATGTGCATCGGCATCAGATCGGACTGCATGGAAAAATGCCGATCCCAAAACGCCGATCCAGTTTTTCCACGGAGTCTGATCCAGGTTTTCCGGCCAGTCCAGCGCTCCGCAATTCAAGCAGTCCATTCCAGTGATCCGCTCCAGCTCTTACTATCAATCCACCAGGCCACTATGCAGACGGCAGACACACACAGAGGGAAGACTAGTGGTCAATTTAGTTAACTGACTATTTGTTTTCTGCTCTGGTTTTTTGAGAGTGATATTTTTATTTGGTTTACACTCTTACTGTTTAAGTAAAGAGCACTGATGGCATTGTTTTGGGCACAATTAGTCAAATTGGAGCCATGGATGGACTATTGCTTGTTTAAACAGTTGTACAATATTGTAAAATAACTGAAAAGGAAAGGCTGCATTGTTTGTTAAATGTCAACAATGTCTTGTGGTGTTAATCTATTTTTTATTCATTAGGGAGCCAAAGCACAAGTGTGTTGAGTCTTGCTGCTATTTTAATTTCAATGTTAGACATTTTAAAGATTTCTTGTGTTGATTTATTTTCTATTTATTAGGGGGCCAAAGCAGCCATAGGAAACCAGCTATATTTTTTATTTAATGTTAATGTTGAAGTTTAAAGTTTGTTTATTTAACCCTGTTAACAATAAACGGGTCAGTTTCTCATACCAACTGTTGTGGATCATTCTAACTAAACCGAATAAGTAGTTGTTCTTGTTAGAGTAATATCGCTTGATCAAACCTTTTCTAACATGACTGACAACAAAATAAGTGAATATGTATAATACGCGCTTGGATCGGATCAGTATCGGTATCGGCCAAAACTCAAGGCTGTAATATCGGTATCGGATTGAAAGTGAAAAAGCTGGATTGGGACATCCCTAATTACATTATGAACTTTTATTACATTTAAGTTATTACATTATGAGCCGTTATTACATTATGAGCCATTATTACATTATGAGTTGCAACAATTGTCAATATTTATTAAATTCCAAGACAGTGTTAAACTACTAGTGCAATATACACTATCAAAAAACAAAAAAATACCTGTCATATTAATCTGAACAGCACAGATACAAATCAAGTAGACACTACTATGTAGTAGTGTTGTCACTGTACCAAAATTGGGACCCACGGTACGATACCAGTGAAAGTATCACAGTTCTGAGTAGTATCACAATACCACAGTGAAAATGAGGCAGATGTGCCTTTTGTCATTTTTAAAAAGATAAATCACTTTTCTATAATACATCAATGATATTTCAATGGAATAAATTACTTACTGACTTATTCATTCTTCAAAAACAGCATCAATAAGTGATTAACATAGGGAGGATCTAAATAAAATAAATAAATAAAATAAAAATCAACCAAAAATCAACCAGCCACCCTCCTCCCTTGACAAGTAAAGAACAGTCCCTTAAGTGCGGTGAGGTTTGTGGAAATGTGAACGGCTCGTTTCTCTTCTGACACGTCACATACCTGTGTGCTGCCACAGCTCAGCTGTTCAGGTACTTTTGGGCAGTCATGACACCAACGAAGACTTATTGGACCTGGAGCCGGACTTCTCCGTCGCCAGTAAGCCGTTATCTTGCGCCGCGGAGCGCTATGGCCGCCTTATTTGACTGCCGTATTCCTGTCTGTGACCCCCCGTTCAACCCACAACCGGCAGGATTCACCTTTAGTTTCTGCTGCTGGTTGAAATCTGTACTCGCACAGCATGCTCCTGAATGATTTCTTTTTCTGGCACAAATCTATTTTAAGTCGCAAATGCAATTAAAATGCGAGTAAAATGCTCGCACCGTAGAGCTCTGCTGAAAACAAATCACTGTAGCATATATAAACAAATCTAGCCTACAAGTAAAAAGAAATTAATAATAACTTTCACTGCTTAAAGATACTCAATAGCTCAGCTAATACCTGAAATGTCACTGGTCACGAACAGTTATTTGGTTTCAACTACAGTTCAAACAATTTCAATCCAAATACCTGGATAATACGGTCCTGATTTAGATTAGCTTCTATGAACAACTGTTTGTAAACTCTATAACCAAAACTAACATTTCAACATGTGATCCCAAGCTGCTCACCCTATAAAGGTGTACTGAGGGGGTGCCTGCTTGGAGCGTCCCAGGATGCGGATGTCACAGATGGCTGCCTCTGTGGAGTCCCGTGGAATAAACTTGATGCAGAGTCGCCTCTTCCTGAAGGCCTGCTCCTCTGTGGGACACACAAAAGACAGTCAGACAAACTAACGAGTCCCTCCACAGTTAACAGTCTGTTCATTAACTATACATTAACACCAGAGAGTTTCCCTTAAGACTAATACAGCAGTTCTCATTATTGGGGCCTGACATCTTTGAGGATTTAAAGATTTTATTTAAATCCTTTTCAGACACACTGTTACCACACAGTGATGTTAGCAGTGCCTTTCGACTACTCTTGATAACTTACGAGTGTCAACAGTCTCCTGGATCGGGATGAAACCCACAGGCAGAGTGTCCTTTATATCAATCAACTTCATGTCCACAAGAACATTACCTAAGTGGCTCTACAGAAAAAGGGACAGAGGACAGGAGAGAGAGGGGGACAAATTGGGAAGGAGAGAGAACGGAGAGAAAAAAAAGAGAAATGGGAATGGAGTGGGGAGTGAATGTAACCAGCGATTCATTCACATGTGCTATGTATGATGGTTGTTGAGGTGAGTTAACTTACATTTTCTTTAGAGAAGACTCTGGTGAAGCAGAGGTAGCGGGTCACCTTCGATTTGAAAAGGCCATCTTTCCAAAGATCAGCATCCAGGCCGTCTGTTGTTGTCGAGACCTGGACAAAAATTGCAAAATCTGATGTCACATGATTCTTTTAACCTGTCTCAGACCTTTTTGTCAATCTTTCAAAGAAAGATTGCATCTGATTTCTTGAACAGGCTACATGCAGAAGAAATGTCACTGCCACTTAACTGAAGGTATATGCAGGAATCCAGTGTGACACACTTTACAGTGTTCCCACAGAACTACATTTTACTTGTGGAAATAGTTTTCTCTACCAACAGTGATAGAGTGATGGCAGTTGTCTCATATAAATGGGTCCAGCGTGGGCTGAATGCACATCTGCAGGTCCCCATTATATACATGTGGTGTATGAAATGTCTGTATCCTTACTGCACTGCATTTTTATAAACTATTATTATCTGTTTACAGAATCACATATTTTGCCGCATTCCAACGTCGTTTCACTCACTCTCTGAAATTACATCGCAAAACTACTAACGGCAGAGCACAGCTGAAACACTGAGTGTTCTTGCAGCTTCAGTATACATGACTGCGATGTTTATAACAACGTCAGAAACATCCAACATATTATCACTTCAACCTTGTCACATATCACTGCTTGGTCATGGACTTTCCATGTCTACATATGTGTTGCAAGGTACCCTAAGTGCATCTGTTGTTGACATTCTAGGATCCCGTTACATGCATTGTGTCTTTTCTAAATACACTTCTGTTTTCACACGAAATGTACAGTTTGCAAACAGTCTCTTTCAAAATAAATGCGCTACATTAGTACAACACCCAAAAATTGATACTTTTTCCTTGAACAACCAACACAGGTGGTTATGTTGAGCCAACAAACACATGTGGTTAGGCTAAAAAAAAAATAAGAACAGGGTTTGGCTCTACATTCATACAGGAAGTGAATACCAGCCTCCTAGGTGAAAGGTCAGTAATTGTTCCCCCACCCCTCCCGCCAACCCCACTCAGACTTTTCACCCCCTTAACCTTCATTGTTGTCCAGCCATGTTTCACCCTGACGCCGTCAGGTGCTGTAACAAGTCAAGTCAAGTCAAAATTTATTTATATAGCACATTTAAAAACAACCTCTGTTGGCCAAAGTGCTGTACAGTTCATCCAAAGAATGAATGAATAGCAAAAAACACAAAAATTATCAATAAGATCAACAATAGGTTTAGACAATAAAACATCAACACTAGAGTACAGGTAAAATACAAATAAAAGCTGTAAAAGACATTTCTGTCTCAACTTGAGGTGAAATCAAGCTAAAAGAGGTAGGTTTTTAAAAGATATTTAAAGTGTTCCAAAGTTCTGGCTGCCCTTATATGGAATGGTAAAGTATTCCATAAATTTGGCGCCACAACGGAAAAGGCTCTGTCACCTTTGCTTTTAAGTTTAGTTTTGGGACAGGCCAGCAGCAGCTGGTTGCTTGATCTCAGTGCTCTGGCTGTCGTGTGAAGCTGAACAAGCTCAGATAGATAGGATGGAGCTAAGCCATTCAGGCTTTTAAAAACAAATAATAAGATTTTAAACTGAACTCTAAACTGGACAGGGAGCCAGTGCAAAGAGGCCAGTATCGGGGTAATATGATCACATCTTTTCTTTCCTGTCAGCAGTCTGGCTGCTGCATTCTGGACAGCCTGCAGGCGTTTCAGTGACTGCTGGTCCAATCCAGCAAAAAGAGAATTACAATAATCCAGACGACAGGTAATGAAAGCGTGAATTGCCCTCTCAAAATCAAGTGGAGGGAGGTAGGGCTTTGCCTTACTAAGTAGCCTTAATTGAAAGAAGCTTGATTTGACTACTGAACCAATCTGTTTTTTAAATTTAAAGGCACAGTCAAAAATTACTCCTAGGTTCCTTGCAGCAGGGTGACAGTAGGAAGCTAATGGGCCAATGGCACTGTCATAGCCATCTAAAAGGTCAGAATGGCCAAATAAAATAATTTCAGTTTTGGATTTGTTTAGGTTCAAGAAATTTGAAGCCATCCATGTGTGAACATCATTGAGACAGTTCAGCAGAGCTTGAATGGAGGCAGAGCTGTTTGTTTGAAGAGGAAGGTAGATCTGTAAGTCATCTGCAAAGCAATGAAATGTTATATTGTACTTTCTAAATATAGCGCCCAGGGGCAGCATATAAATGGAGAAGAGAATGGGGCCCAAGATGGAACCTTGAGGCACCCCGCAATTGAGTGAGGATGCAGCAGATCTATACTAGCCCATGTGAACAGAGAAACTCCTTTCTGATAAATAGGATTCAAACCATTTGAGCGCTGTACCTTTAAAACCTACACACAGGTCAAGACGTGATAAAAGAATCTTATGATCTACTGTATCGAAAGCTGCAGTCAAGTCTAAGAGCACCAGAACAGCAGTGTTACCAGAATCAACAATTAAAAGCAGATCATTAAAAACTCTTAAAAGGGCTGTTTCTGTGCTATGGCGTGCTTTAAAGCCTGACTGGAACTTTTCAGAAATGCCATTTAAGTCCAGATGCGACTGCAGTTGTTCATACACTACCTTTTCTAAGACTCTGGACAAAAAAAGGGAGCTTAGAAATAGGTCTGTAGTTCGACAAAACTGAAGGGTCAAGATTATTCTTCTTGATGAGGGGCTGCACCACAGCATGTTTGAAAGCAGCGAGGACACAGCCAGACATCAAGGAAGAATTTATAAGGACGACAATACAAGGCCCCAGCGTGATAAAAACATCCTTGAAGAAACGGGGTGGAATGCTGTCTAGGGGGCAGTAGGAGGGCCGTAGCTGCTGAAGTATTTTCGTTAAAGAAGGAAGAGACACTTGCTCAAAAGCCTCAAAAATAACTGGGGCTACAGGGGAACCAACAGGGTCAGAGGCCAGAGGAGAGGGAATGGACCTGATGGCAGAAATCTTGTCATTGAAAAATTTAAGAAATTTTTCACATAGTGCAGGAGAAGATACAATGGAGGTAGAATTAGAGGTATTTAAAAGCAAATTAAGAGTAATAAAAAGAAACTGAGGTTTATAGCTGTTATTTGACACAAGGTTTGAGAAGAAATTAGTTTTTGCAGCTTTAACAGCTCTCTGATATTCAGATAAACGGTGCGTACACAGCGCGCAGGAGCGCACGGTTTAACATGGGAAGAAGGCACAGTAACAGTAAATAAAACAGCGAAGTGATCAGAGATATGAGTATTACAAATCTCAGTAATGCTTAAGTTTAAACCAAGTGACAGCACAAGGTCCAGTGTGTCCTTTTTCATGCGTTGACCCAGCCACTGACTGGGTGAGATTAAACAAGTCAATAAGATTCATGAATTCCCTGGCCAGAGGTTTTGATTCACAGCAGACATGTATGTTAAAATCACCAACAATTAAAACCCGATCATATCTCAATGTTGTTTCTGCCAGAAAATCACCAAAGTCTTGTATGAAATCCTTACTGAGGTGAGGTGGGCGATAGACCAGCGCACACAGAATTGGAGATGTTAAGTTTAACACAAATGTCTGCAGTTCAAAAGAAGAAAAGGAGCCAGGTAACGATTGTTGGCATTGAAAGCTGGATTTGAACACCGACGCTAGCCCCCCTCCTCTGCCGGTTAATCGCGGGGAGCTGAGAAACAGACAGCTGGGAGGGAGAAGTTCCGAGAGCGGGGTGGACTCACCAACATGTAGCCATGTCTCCGTCAGGAACATAAAATCCAGTTTACATGAGACGAAGAAATCATTTAGCAAAAACATCTTGTTTGCTATCGATCGTGCATTAAAGAGAGCCAAGTGAAGATCCTTTTCCTCTGGTCCGGGTAAAGCGGCACGGTCCAGCGCCCGAAGGTTCCTGCAATTGATGCCGCCATAGCGCACCCAGCTCCGCCTAGAGAGAGGAATCTCCACTGGTGAGTGAGGTAGGATCCCAGACAGGTGAGGGGGAACAATAAGCCGGATCCACCGGATTCCCATAGACCAGCAAGCCGCAGACAATCCGTTGGAAAGACGATGAGGATTAGTCCCTAGGCCGGCCCTCAGGTAAGCCTTGATTCTAACCAGCACACCCCCTCGTTTCCCTCGTCTTCTGGAGCGCCTCTTCCAGAGGACAGGTGAGCGACACAGGTAGGCTGGTATGGACGCCAGGAATGGTGGCGGGCTCGAGGTCCGATCACAATAATCAAACGTTAACAGCTTCTCATGAGATGTTTTAATATCAGTAAGTGCTTGGCGATCATACACCAGGAGAGCAGACACATCTTGACAGAAAATATTAAATACAACTGCAAACACTAATCCCAGCAGAGCTGACAGACGGCTGGCTGCACACGCTGGCGCCATCTTTTCTTAATATGTTAACAGACCAATGGCGACCAGCAGCATATCATCACAACATGAAAGGATGGCTTTTTTTGTCTGTCTGATGCTACAGTCACTGCTGAAGTGCCCATCTTTAATGACTTCAGGACAAGAACAAGTTGTAATATCTTGAGTTTTATGTTTGACATGCAGCTATGCTTGCTCACTGAAGTAGCAGGTTCAGGGCAGTGAAAAAGGTGAAAAAATAAACAACAAACGGTGAGGGTGAGACACCCTGCACCCCATAGCTTCACTGTCAGGTGAGGGACAGACACCGTGGACCCCACACCTTCACCCTCAGGTGAGGGAGAGACATCATATGTACCACAGCCTCACTGTCAGGTGAGGAAGAGCCCGGTGTGCCTCTGACAGCTTGACATTGGTTGTGACATGCCATAGTTTGTTGAGTTAAAATGCTCCAACAGTTACTCAATATAAAATGACCTCCCCCACGCACGTCTCCAGCAGAAAATGGACCAGCTCGGCTGATAACTGACTCTCCACACTGTATTTCTTTGCCAGAGAAGCTACCTGCTCCGGCCAGGAAAATGGAACAAGAGCCTGGGCAGGAGATGATATCAATCAATCAATCAATACATAACATCTACAATATATGTTGGATTAACATTTATATTAAATATCTTTTATTTAGCAGATCGATTCCACATATAGTTAACATCTAGATTTAAGGCTCATGTTTCTGAATTTCTC